AGCAGCGCTGCTCCTGCGTGAGCTCTGGGGCCGTCTGGTGCGGGAGACCGGGGCAGCCTGGCCAGGCCCACTGGCATCGGCCAGAATAAACCCCCTTAGCGTGCTGGAGGGAGGCCAGGCCTTCGTCCTGGTGCCTCCTGTAGTATTGCTGTGGTGTGGCCGCTGCTGCTCGTCCAAACCCACAAACTTTGCTTCCCTTTGCAGGGTGAGTGATGCCTGGTTATCCAAGCACACGGGAGCCGACAGGAAGTCCCAGACGATGCCAGCGCTCCGCAGCAGAGCTGGGGGAATGCAGGTGCGGCTCCAGCATCTGGGCAGCCTGGAGACCTCCTTCACGCTCAACCACAGTATGTACGGCACAGCGAGACGGGACCCTGGAGTATTAGTCTGCTGAAAACTGCATGTAGCCATTTTCCACTTGCTGCTTGTTGCTTCAGGATATTCAGACTCTGAAGAATTACAGTGTTCACTGGTACTCCCTGCAAAATTTCTAGATTGGTGGTGGTGACTCTTAAGCCAAGCCCTTAAAAAGTCATCCCTGGGACTTATTGCCTGGCTTTTTCCTCTCACCTGTCTTGTCTCAGTTCCTTGGCTGAGTGTGTGTGCAGGCGATGCCTGGTTTGGGTGGTGAGGAGGGCAGGCAGGAGAGATGTACAGAGACCTGGGGAAGGATCTGCTCTAAGCCTCTCCACATGGGTGAGTTTTGCTCCATTGAAGCACCTTGCCATTTCTCGCCTGGGGATGCAACCTGGACACCTCATTCTCTGTCTGGCTTGAAAGACAGGGAGATTATGGGGAAATATTGACATTGTTTTTTCTTGGTTGGCGTCAGGCTGAGGCAGCTTCTCAGGAGTTGGCAAATTCAGCATCTTGCTATTCCTACCTCATTTCTCAAACCCAGTAAAGTGCAAGGGGGGAACCATATCTATACCAGCATTGAGGTTGTGTGGGAGCTGGAGTATTGAACACTGGACACTGTTTCCTCCTGAACTGCTTTCCATCCACAGATGCAGGCACCTCAGAAGCAGATATTGTGCACCAGGCATTACTGGAGGGCAATATTGCCACTGAAGTGTGCCTCACAGTCCTGGACACCATCTCTTTTTTCACTCAGAGTTTCAAGGTCAGTGTTGAAATCAAAAGAATTTTAGAGAAATGTGCTGTATATGTGCTGATTTTTGTGATCCATTCTAACTGGCAGATTATGGAAAGCTTTACAAAAGCAAATCATTTGCAGCTTGTTTATTTTCCAAAATGCTGGGTGTCCCACAGGGTCTCAGAGTAAATATGCACTTATGCAATCTTGCAATTTCTTTAAAACTTCAAAACCAGAGAAAATTTTGTGGACAGGATACCGTAAGTGTAGGCATTGCAAAAATAGAATAAGAGGAAATATGTCATATTGAAAGGAGGGACTAGAGGAAAAGGAAATGAAGGTCTAGCGTTCTTAGAACAGTCACTGTTTTCTACCATAGATTGCCTAGAAGTGAGGCCCAGATTTCTTTGAATCATTGTACATTAATGTCTCTGGGGCTGAGACATTCCAGCTGTGTTTACCAGTTCAGAAAGGATAGTACCACTGGTAGAAGTTGTCTCTGTATAGTGATTTACACTCCCAGCAGTCATTGGCATCTACAGGAATTAAAGCCTCTGTGGTGAAGAGAACCCCAGGCTGGCACCAAAATACTGAAATACTGTTCCAGAAAAGCTCTTCTTTGAAGTGTGGTTGGATGAATCCTGCTCATAGCAAAGTGTCTTGCATAATGTTAAGAAAACAACTCTGAATTTCAGAGTAAGCACGATGAAGATTTCCTTTTTAGATGAACTGAACAACATGAAGAGAAACATTATCACCTCCTCTCTCTGTTATAAAGGAAAAATCCTTCCTGGTGCAGGAAGCCTTCCTGATGCAATACATTAAAATACTCCTTTGGCAACAGCAGAAGGATTTAGATGCAAGAGTTAAAACTTACTTGACTTTGTCAGTTGCCTGTTGTTGAATATGGCTGAACCACAAAACTATGTGATTTTCAAACCGCAGGGTAAACTGGATTCCCTTCCGCTTTAAGGGGCTTCTGCTTTGCTTTTGTGGTCATACAGTGATACTGCACAAAAGTGTGCTCTCTACTGTAGCAAAAGTGCTGATGCTGTTCTTACTGCCAGAGTAAGTGAGTTCAGTTAAAAAGTATGGAGCCTAAACTTACCCTGCTACAAGATGTCAAAAGACAAATCTGAGCTAGCCCAAGAATTGGGACTTCCACATCCTTGCTGGCTGGCCATGATGTGCCAGGCTTCATGTGCCACAGCTGCAGGGCTGACCCCCCAGGCTGCACAGGCAAGATAGCTCTGACACCAAACTGTATTAATCCTCTCCTGGTAGTTCAATTTTACTGTAATCTCCAGAAGGTGCAGACTGTTAAAACTTTGGAGGAGACAAGGGAAGTGTACTGACTTACTACAGCTATGAATCTGTCTGGTGAAAAGATCAAATAGTCTTTTTTTTTTTTTTTTTCCTCTCTTTTGGGCTGCAAATGAAACACTTGTTGAGGCAAATAGAAAAGAAAAAAACCCTGTGTGATAGTTACATTGGTAACAGCCTGTTTTATTTAAAGTAACTCCAGGCAGCAGTGAAAGTTGTACAGATTATTGAGTTAGGTTTTAGAATTAGTGAAGCAAAAGCGATAAAATATTTTTATGTTATTTTCTGCTATAAAAATAGCCTCTGACCAACTGGTGTAAGTTTGTACTGGTTGTCACATATATTGGTTATATTTTTGCTGAAGGCCCTGTTCCTTATCTGACTTAAGAATTGACTTAATTAATTATGCAAAATTATCTCTATCATTTACAGCTTCAGGCACAACATCTCTGCAAAATAAATTCTCTCATTGCTTTTCAGAACCAGCTTTTAAGCAATGATGGCCACAATCCACTTATGAAGAAGGTTTTTGATATTCATCTGGCTTTTCTCAAAAATGGGCAGTCAGAAGCAGCTCTTAAGCACGTGTTTGCCTCTCTGAGAGCTTTCATTAGCAAGGTATGCAATACATGACTTCAAAGGTGCAGGAGAATTTATATAGGTAAGGCAGAAGAGACCAGTGTGCTTAAACTCCTGTTAAACAGATATTTTGTGCTGTTTGGAGATGTGTTTTAGAAAACAACTGTTTTACAAACCAGACCAGGTTAAGTTAGCTATTTCAATATTTATCTCATATTTTTGGGCATCAGGAAACGAAAGGAGAAATTGAGAAGAATTCCCTCACTTGCCTTGGTCACAAAACTGCTGTTAAAGATTAGTATCTGTTCAACCAAAAGCTGATGCTTCTTGAATCTTTGCCCCAAACTGTCAATATTGCTGACAATGCTGTTGCTTGAATAATACTTGTACTGACAAGCTGCTTCTCTTCCACTGTGTTTGAAAGAGCGTGCTGCTTGCTGAACCTCTTTCTGCACTTTTCTGAACCCTGGTACGCAGCAAGGCTGTTTAATGCCCTGAGCTCAAGCTCTGTCACAGCCATAGCTAACCACATAAGAGCAGTGACTGATGGTATTGTTAACATTTCCCTTCATGCTTGTCAAAACCTGCCACTTCTCACAACTACACTTTTGAGACCAGATGTATGTGCAAACTTCATTCCTTTCAATCTGCACAGTTATCATAAATACAAAATTAATTAAAACCTCTCAAATCACTTGAATGTAACACTTCATTAATGAGGTAAATCCATGTGGCATGAGATTGCACCCAGGCAGAACACAGTATATAAATGATATGCAGCAAATTGTTACTTCCAAAGGAGATCTTGCACTGGTTGACAAACAAAGTTTAATTAAAGAAAGAGACTGCTAAACTGTTTTTCAAAGGTAGAAAAAGTCTATGCAATGTATATTCTACTATAACCTCACAGCAAGGCCAAGAGCTAGTAGGAGTATGTCTAGGGCCAAATTTTGGGTTGTCCTAAGCAAACGTAGGAGAGGCAGGAAATGCAAAAGTCTTGCTAGCTACCTATCTGGCTCCAGACAGCCTAATCTCCTATGAGATGTTTTTCCATCCTGCTTCCTAAATCCTGCTAAATTGGCAGCTGGCACTGGCAGGAATCACTCAGTGTTTCTACAGGGTCCAATACTTGTTTATTCATCTACCTTTCTTCTGAGTTTTCTGCTTGCCTATGATCTGCTTAGCCTTCCATCCTGCTTCAGATCTGCACACACTCCACTCAGACACAGTCTCTCTGCATGTCACTTCCCTTACTAGTCAAAAGTTTGGTTTAGCCAGAAATATTTGGTTTGTGCCTATCGCAAATAAGAGACCTTCCTGGTCTCCCTGGCAAATGGTTGTTTAAATGCAAAGCCAAACCTGCACACCTGCTCAATTTGATCTCACCATCAGCCTTCAAAACCTGGAGCCCTTCAGGGGTTCCACACTTGCTCTCCAAATTGCCAATGACAGCAATGCAGGCTGTGCTCTAGGCTGCTGCAAGGATGCACAGTGGGGTCATTCTCTTGGATTTATGCCAGCCTGAATCCATGCTGAATTTGGCATCATGAGTCTTCAAAGATATTAAGGATTGGTTTCAGTTAATTTCTAACATATCCCCTATGACAGGACACAGTGTTGCTTCTGTAAAAGCAAGATATGAGCCCAACAGATGGTATCTATAAGGAAGTGTTTTCTTTGCCAACTCCATAACCACAAGGGTCCCAAACTTCCTTTTAAGTCCTCTGAAGGGCTTTTCCAAGGCCCAAAGTGACAATAATATATTTAGGGGGGGGTCACTGCATTTCATGACAACTGCAAGGAGGGCATATTTTCCTACAAGTTTGTTCTGAAATATAAAAACTGCCCTGCTTTGTTTTGGCTCACTTATCACTGTTAGCTATAAATTATTGTTAACTTCAAGAAAACCAAAAGTGAGTTACACCTTTGACACAGCTAGAATGGGCAATCGGTCATTTTTATGGCCTTCTGTAGCTAATCATTACGACAAAAAGAATCACCCTTTTATCTAGGTTCACAGCAACTGGTTACTGGAAGGGGAAAAACTCCTGAGATTTATTTTGCATCCCCAAATCTGTCTTAAAAATAGCTTGCTTTCTCCATTAAATCTGGTTATTGATAAGTAAAAGACTTAAAAAAAAAAAAAATTTCGCAAGAAAGCAAAGAACAAACAAGTTCTATAATTGATTGCATGTTTGGTTTTGGTTTTAGAATGAATACCACTTGCATCCATGTGTGCTGGGAATTTGGGAAGAAAGCTGTCCTTGTTTTACCAGCTGGGAAGAAGCAAAAAAGAGCTGGATTGCTCTTGGTTTATACTCCAGGTTTTCTTAGCAACTAAATCCTTCTTTTCAGAGCATCACTTAAATACATACAGACATGCTTGGGAATGGTCTTGAAGTTAAAAGTTATGAAGGAAAACATGCACATAGGAGGGGGCTGAGATAATTTACCCTGCATTAAAGAGCAGTTCAGAGATGTGGATGTGAGAGTGATGGAAATACCACGTCTGTCCACTCCATGCCTACTTGTCCCTTGACAGATTGACACTAGCAGGGCATGTCAGGGTCATCACAAATCCCAGGCCCTGAAGGACTAGGGCAGCAGGGCCTTGCTCCTTTCCTGCAATAGCCCACTTGGGAAGATTGTCCCTGTCTGTTAGCAATTCCCCATGACCATGTCAAGCTGTGCTTTCCCTCCCCATTAGTGCACTTGGGATACAGCATCATTACAGCCTCCCATGCAGTTGTGAAGGGCACTTGGCACATCCTGCATGCCACTGTGGCTGCCCTGCCCTCACATTCCTTTTGTGCCAAGGCCTCTTTGGGAGCCACTTGCTGCATTGACTCCTGCTCTGGCCCTTTGTATTAAGACTGGAGCAGAAATGTGCTCCTCTGGTGCATGCAGTCACCACCACATGTGCTGCTTCACAGCTCATCCCACCCTTGTGTTCTTCTGCCAGCTGGAGAGCCGCAGGCAGCGCATGGCCAGATCTCCACAAGGAATACACCCTTGGATTTGCTGCCCCAAACCTGGTGCCAGGAGCAATTGCATCTGCTTGGGCTTAATCTTCAGAAGGAGTTGCACAGGGATGCAGGTTCCCTATGAACAGGACACAGGTTTTCCTCCAGAGCTGGTGCAGTGTGGAGAGGAGCACACAGGAAGGGATCTTGAGCTTCTTCTGATGCAGATTCCCAGGCAAAGTTTTGCTCTCTAGCATTGGGTTGAAAATGTCAGAAAAGCCTCTGCATGCAAGCAGTGGTCCCTGCTGAGAGCAAGTGCCAGCTGTATCTTCTTGGGTGCCTAACTGCTCCTTGTGCATGCACAATCATGCATCGCTGTGGCCAGCTCTGAACTAAACCCGGGTCTGAGTGTGACCCTGTCTCACCATGGGAGGATTGCATTACAACAGGCAGCAATTATGTAAAAGCTCATTCCCAGAGTGCACGCAGGATCCTCTTGGCCCTGTTATTATGATATTTATTTGCTTCTTTTCATTCTGCCACTTTTTAAAATGAAAATATTTTTGGCCAGAGGCAGTGAGCACCCAGTATTTGATCAGTGTCATCATTCTGCTTTGAAGCCTGTGCAGCTTGGTGTAATCTCAATGGTGTAGTCTTTCTAGACATAGATCTTTAGATTCCTGTTTTAAGGCCCTTTCACCAGCATGCCGTGATGGTGGCCATAGTAGTACCTAGAAGCTTTTCTGAATCATATTTAATGCAAGGAGTAGAGGGGCACAGTAACTCTGGGCTCTGACTTGGAGGGTATCAGTGAATACTCTGACAGTATGTACTACATGGGGGGGAAGATAGTGGAGCAGATAGAAGTGGCTCATAGACCATGCCCCATTGGACCATTTGGACCACTGAGTTTTGAAAGAACTGAGCACATATTTATTCTGAAGAGATAAAACCCATGGTTGTCTCTGTTGCCTCTTTGTGCCAGGAAACTGCCTGGGCTGGTCGCCAGCCACAGCAGAGGGAGCAGAGTGCTGCTGTGTGATGCTCAAACAGCCTCTGCTCCCTCCAGGAGGTGCTGGCGTCACCCCTCTCCAGCCAAGTCCCTGTGGGGGCTGCAGAGGTGGCTGCGTGCCAGCACAAAACCCTTCCTTTTTCTGCTTCCCTGCACCCAGCCTGCTGTGGCCAGGCTGGAAGGAAGCTGAGTGCAGTGTCTCCTCCTCGCCAGCCACCGCTCATGACCACAGCCGGCCGGCCGTGCTGGTGGGCCCTGCTGCGGCGAGTCCTGCATGGAGGCAGCTGCCCACGGGGCAGGGATAGCTGCAGCCATCTGCTTTTCAGGCACAGCTGAGCCTGAACCTGCAGACGTGCCTGGAAGCAGGTGTTGGGTAAGGGGATAGACACACTACAACAGTACGGGGTACTGGTCTTCCCCTTCTGTTTTTCTTCACCCTTCTGCAGATCTCTGAGCCCCATTGCTAACTGAGGTAGCTCACGCTGTGGTTTGGCTTGATCCTGCTGCTCCCTGGGGCTAGCTCCATCTCTGGGACCCGGGCAGGTCACTGTATATTTTAGACTTTCTGGGGCAATCAAGTCTCCTGTTTGCATTCCCGAGGGCACGCATGATTTTAGGCTTTTTATAGAGTGAAGTGTAGAAGTAGCTGTGCAAGCATTGCAGGTCATGTATCCTAGGGATGTCAGACTTCTGGGTGGGCCCTGGCAAATCTTCTGATGTCCCAGGTGGCAAGCTTTGGTGGGAATGTTCATGGGACTTCTCCTCTCTGCCCCGCTGCCAGTGTTGCTGGCTTTTGTAAGAACATGAAACTTGTGTCTGTCCAATTTGGTGACAATTTGCCAGTGAACCCAAAGGTTGTTGAGGAAGGGGATAGATGGACATACACAAGCACATCCCAAAAAAGCGTGACAGCAAAGTTCATGTTGCTCTAGGAAATGTTGTTAAAAATAGGCCCTGAATTCTTTCCCACAAATATTTTCAGGCTTAGAACTCTGGCAGAAGTTTTATTAAAGCTGTCCAGGCTGAACCCCTTTGTGTTGCCCCATGCATATTGGAGCCCTGTGAGTGTTGTTTAGTAGAATATTTTCTAAGATTTCCATGCCTTCTGTGAAGTTTCCCTCAGCATTTTTCAAGGGAAGAGTGAACATGTGTGCTGCCCTCTGCTACGAGATCCTGAAGTGTTGCACTTCCAAGGTGTCCTCCACGAGGAACGAAGCCTCAGCTCTTCTGTATCTCCTGATGAGAAACAACTTTGAGTTCACCAAAAGGAGAACATTTCTGAGAACACATCTTCAGGTCAGTGACTGGGGAAAAGCTAGAGAGCAGGATAACTCAGGTTTAAGAACAGATATATCAATATGACTATATCACCCCATACCTGCAGAGGATCTTCCCATTGTTATATGGATAAATATCCTCTTGATTTCCAGGCTTCACCTAATCCCTGTTTGAAATTATTGGCCCAGGACCTTTTGGGTAAAATGCACTGCCATCAGGTACTCCAAGCTGTTGAGTTTTTGGAATCACAGACCCAAGACTTACCTCTGCCCCAGAGGCTGTCCAGAATGGGGTGGAAAGGACAGCAAGAAGAGCTACCTTTGAGGCAAGAGAAGGGATTTTCCTAGAGCTGCTTTTGCAGTGTTGTCTTTTTTGAAGCAAATTTAAGATAGCTAGTGAGGCAGATGAATACCATCTGGGTTGTAACAAATCATGAAAGAAGGTCACTAATGCACAGACAGGGATTTGTATCATGATTGTCATATTCTTAATTCTGTGAACTCGCTGTCCAGCAAAGCAGTTTAGTCCTCTTGGGAATATTTGTCCTTGGGAGATGTGACAGGAAAGCCACAACAACAACCATTGCTTATGTTATGGGAAAAACATGATGTTTTCCTCTGAGCATTTTATGTAATTGTAACAATAAAACTCCTCTATTAGGGCACGTTTAAATAAAGCCCCTACCCTGTCCCAACAGATAATAATCGCAGTGAGCCAATTAATAGCAGATGTGGCACTCAGCGGTGGGACAAGATTTCAGGACTCCTTGCTGATCATTAACAATTTTGCAAACAGTGACAGGCCTATGAAGGTAAGTTGGAGATGTTAAATCACGTCATGTACTATCAGCTACTGATGCAAGACTAGAGGCACACTCAAGGAAATCATGCTTAAGGCTAAGGCTAATGACTGGAACTATGATTTATAAGCTCATAGTGGGCTGTGTTTGCTCAGTAAACAAGTATTACAGCAACAGCAATAGGGCCAGCTGCACAGGCAGGTCATGCTCCATCCATGAGGCCTCATGCCAAGAGAAGGGAGCTCTGCAATTCAAGTTACACTTTGCAAAGTGTGCTGCTTGCAAGGGTGTCCTGAGAGCTTTGCAAGAACTGCCAGCTTTGAGAGGAGTGACAAGGGAGGGTCTGATACTTTTGTTGGCTGAAGATAATAATTAGCAGGGGTTACTTTTAATTAATTGAGTGTCAGTAATTTTAAGAAAGAAGTCTTTCATGGAGATTAATGGTTCTATTTATTTGGAAAACAATTGTCTGTCTTTGTGCTAGTGTTAACAGCTTCTACCAGACCCACTGAACAATGTGCCATCACTGCAGCCTGCTCCATTGCACACAGTGTAGCTGCCACAGTAGGACAGAGGAAAACAGGGAATGTTTTTGCACTTCTGTGATTATCCTATGACCTAAAGGTGCAATGGGAACATGGGTTAGGCATTGAATTGTGCTATAACAAAGCTGTAGTTAGGATATACCTGGCAAAAACTTCCATTCTCTTCTGTACACCGGTGTTTATAAGGGTTTTACTGAGCCATACTTTGCTGCTTATATTTTATACCACAAGACTATCATTATATCCAGTTTATGTATTTATATAAGTGTAAGAGTACAAGAGAGATTTCAATACACTAGAGAGGATGCTATGTGGAGCCCCAGAGACAGGTAGGGAGCAGGAGCCCCACAAGAAGGAATGTGAGCCAGGCTCATCATGGAGGAGAGAATGCTGAGGGGGGACCTCACTACTGCTTTCCACTACTGAAAGGGAGGTTATGGAAAAAAAGAGGTCAGGCTCTTCTCAGAGGTGTGGAGTGACAGGACAATAGACAATAGGCACAAGTTGCTGCAGGCAAAATTCCAACTTTACTTAAAGAAAAATTATTTCCCAAGAACATGGTGCAGCCTTAGGACAGGGTCCAGAAAGGAGGTGGGGTTTCTATCCTTGGAGAAACTTGGCCAAAGAAGCCTAGCTCTAAATCGATGGTGGCCCTATTCTTCACAGGGGAGCAGACTGGAGCCTGTGTTTCTTTCTGTATTTATTACATTTCTGTGGTGGGAATGCTACAAATGGTTTTGATGCTTTAGGAATTGAAGAGTGACCACATCAGAGGCTAAAAAGCCAGAAGTTGAATGCCATGAGAAATACTTCAGGCACGGTTTATGGTCCCATCCTGGGACATTTGTATGCACAGAGAACTTCTGCCTCGTTCTCACACCAACTCCTCAGGCTGCCAAAGGACCCGCCTCAGTGGGGCATGGGAACAGCCAACCTGGTACCCTGCTCATGGCCAGGAGAGACTGGCCCTGTGCATGCGCAGATTGAAATGACTCTAATTGCATACGGAATACTGTACACTCTATGCAGTGTGAGTGCAGTAAGTAAGAGCTGGTTAGTCTTATCTCCTGTGCTCTTGGCAATTCCAAATTGGCAGTAAGGGCAGTGTTGGCTGAAAGGGTAGCGACGGGCTTTCTTCGGCGAAGCCTGGAACACCTTTTGTTTCTGTATTTGCTTTTAATTAGTTTTGTTTTGTGTCAGGCAACTGCTTTTCCTTCCGAAGTGAAAGATTTGACAAAGAGAATCCGTACAGTGCTTATGGCTACAGCTCAAATGAAAGAACATGAAAAAGATCCAGAAATGTTGGTAGATCTACAGTACAGTTTAGCCAAATCTTATGCAAGTACGCCAGAGCTCCGGAAGACGTGGCTAGACAGCATGGCAAAGATACATGTGAAAAACGGAGACTTTTCAGAGGTAATTCATGTAACTAAAACATGTTGCACAACAAGAAGCAGATGCACAGATTACATTTTAATTTTCCCTTTGTACTTTGCAGGCAGCCATGTGTTATGTTCATGTGGCAGCCCTCGTTGCAGAGTTCCTGCACAGGAAAAGTAAGTGCGTGCTGCTTGGGAGGAAGATGATGCAGTGGTGGGTTTTGCAGGGATCAGAATCTTTTTAAAGACAAGTTTCTCTCAATTTGGGAAATGATTATTCTAGAAACAAGATAAAAAGGGAAAAAAGAAAAAAACACTTAATGCAGTGGACAAAGCTAGAAAAAGATTAGTATTTTTTTAAGAAAGGAATTCAGCTGTTCATACACAAGCATTTACTAGGCTGGCCAAATCTGCCTAGATCGTCATGTTGGCACGTTGCTGAGTGAAATGAGAACTGACAAATCATGTCTCTGTTTAAATATTCAGTTTTATTATACGTTACAAAATGTGCTCACAGGGGAAGCCCATGTTAAAAACTAGCTGTCTGTAGGTTCATCAGAAGTATCACTATGGGCAGTAGAGAAAACTATAGAACAAAGCAATCAAAATTCAGTCAAAAAAAAGAGACTATAGCCTAACTATACAAATATGTAAAGAACAATCAGAAAAAAAAGTTTTGTGGTTAAATGCAAAACAGGAAGGAAAGACAGATGTGTGTTCTCAAGTAACACTGCTTTGCAGGATTTCTTTTAAATACCTGTTCCACGGTTGATATATTGACCCCATTTCTCATTTCCATGTAACGGAGTAATTGTTGAAATGGACATTTCAGAAAGTTAAGGCAGGATAAACGTTGATTACATGCACTGCCTTGGCTGGAGGGGTTTTAAGTACCTTGCTCAGGGGGCTTGGAGTCCCTCCAAACTCTGTACTTTATGTTGGCTAAGTGAGAAAAATCAGGACTTATTTTTCTGATATGTATACACATTTCACATGGCTGCAGAGGGAAGAGTATTGAAAGTTGGCAATTCCTTATTTGTAGCCTGGAGGCTCCTTACCACAACTGGTGGTAAGGGAGAACTTCTAAAAAAGAAGAGGAACAAGTGCAAAGGAGTCTCAAGTGACTACTTTGAGTTATCTCTTTCACTGGCACTCTTTAGATATGTGTAGGCTGGAAAGGGTTTGGTAATGACTGAACTACTCAAAGTTTTGGGGTACATAACTGTGCTTTCTGCTACAGTGTAAAACTGTGTTCACTTACCACCCAGCTCTCCAGCATCCAGCAATAGCTTTCTTGCATCCTCTGTACAAAGATAGATCCCTGTCTTTCTCCCCTTACTTTCAGTTGGTTGCAGCCAGCGAGGCTGGTCACAGGTGACTTACAGATAGCACACTGGGAAATCTGGTGTGCTTGGTGTACATTACGTACTAGAAATAGGAGCCACAAAAATGCTCCGAGGGCTGGAGCAGCTCCTCTGTAAGGACAGGCTGAGAGAGTTGGGGTTGTTCAGCCTAGAGAAGAGAAGGCTCCGGGCTGACCTTATGGTGACCTTCCAGTACCTGAGAGGGGCCTATATGAAAGCAGGGGAGTGACTATTCACAATGGTCTGTAGTGACAGGATGAGGGGTAATTTAAGTTAGAAAAGGGTAGATTCAGGTTAGACGTTAGGAAAAAGTTCTTCAATATGAGGGTGATAGACCATTGGAATAGGTTGCCCAGAGAGGTGGTGGAGGCCCCATCCCTGGGGACATTCAAGATCAGGCTGGATGAGGCTCTGAGTAGCTTGATCTAATTAGAGATGTCCCTGCTTTTGGCAGGGGGGTTGGACTAGATGACTTTTGGAGGTCCCTTCCAGCCCAGACTTTCTATGATTCTGTGAAATGCTGACCATGGCAAATGACTGGGGAGGTGCTGGTATGTTCAGTCTCGTACAGCAAATCAGTAGCAAAAATGGGAATCAGGTCCCCTGCCACTTGTAGGACTTCAATACCAGCTAGACTACTTCCCTGTCCGTTGAAGAATGATGCATTTGAGACAAGTTATTTCACTAATCTATTGGCTTTTGTCTGCTACAGAACTCTTCCCCAGTGGATGCACTGCCTTCAGGAAAATCACTCCCAACATTGATGAAGAAGGTGCAATGAAAGAAGATGGTGGGATGATGGATGTACATTACAGTGAGGTGAGGTCTTGTAGTATAGACTATAGAGTATTCGATAGGTAATTAGGATTTAGTTTTAGACTTTGTTTTCATGAGCTTTAAAAAATGGTAGTTGTGCATTGGCATCTGTAAAGACTGTTTAAGAGCAATTTCCCAAGAGAAATCTGCTTTGAAGGATTCTCTGTGTACAGTTCAGATAGGTAAAACTGGTGTAAGTTTTGATTCCTTTGAAAGGCATTTCGAGCACTGAGACTGAGAAAGCTACACCACAGTCTTCAACTGCCATGTTATGCAAATGCTCGCTCTGCCAGCACAGGGCAGCATGGTATGGTATTTCCAAGGAGGGACAGAATGCAAGCCAACCTCTGCAGACTGAGAGGTCACCTTAAGTTCCCCTTGAGTTAAGGCTGTGCTGCAGGACACCGCATTAGCAGAACAATCCAGAAACCATAGCAGGACACTGGGGAAGTGGGTAGATCCTCTTGTGAGTCAAAGTCTCACAGTTAATGCTGCTTCGTCCCTGTAAAACCATGTTGGGTGAGCCATGTGGCTGAGTAGGGTAGCCCAGCTGCCCAATTGCCCGTTCATCAAGACTAAGCTTGAGCATCCTTAGCATCACATCCCACTGCTGTTGTATACATTTCTTGGACATGTTTCCTAGACATGTACCTCTGACTTCCAGTGCTGTCATCTCCATACCATCCCAGAGTTTTGCCATTCTTCTAGGTAGGCAGCTAAATAAGCAAGACATACTTGCTGGCTATTATGATAATGATTTATTAAGAACAAATGATTTTTTTTTAAATAACTTGTCCTTTTTTTCTTTTTTTTTTTTTTTTTCCTAAAATTTAGTGTACCTTTGGAAAACCCAGGAACACATAGGGTTTAAACTTACATAGCTGTGGATACTTATACTGGAGCCTGTTGACCTGATAAAATATCTGAAGTTAAGCTGGTTTTCTCTTTTAACTTTGACTACTATTGACAACACCCATATGGTTGCTCTCATAGGAAGTCCTGGTGGAGCTGCTGGAGCAATGTGTAGATGGCCTGTGGAAGGCAGAGCGTTATGAAACAATTTCTGAAGTTTCCAAACTGATCATTCCTATTTATGAAAAGCGGCGTGAATTTGAAGTAGGTATTTTGAACTAGTTTGCATATATCAGGTAATTTTCTGGATCCCTAATGAAATAACAGGAGTGTTTTTTATTTTTGAAGTTGTGAGTTAGTGAATTGGTGTCAGTAAAGCACACACTGATTCACTGCAGGGCATTAAAAAAACTAGTGAAAACAATGGTCTGGAGGATATTTAGTAAAGCTAAAGACACGGAAGAGTCATATTTAGTGAGTAATTCCCACCTTTCTTCCCCTAAAATAAAGTTGTTGTCATCCTGTATGCTAATTCTGTATGCCAGATTATTTTTGAGACCTGAGCATTTTAAGGGTTAAAACCAGAGTGAGAACTGTTTAGAGAAAGGACTAGATCTGCAGGTAGTTTAGTGGCAAGTGGAGAGGAAGGAAGGCAGCTGTTACCAGCTTTCTGCTTTGCTCCTTCCCAACACCTGCCGTGACCCATGCTTCAGTGAGGCATTGCTCGACTGTGAACAGCACTCCTCTTTCTCTCCCTCTCCCATGACCCCTTCCACATCAGGACAGCATCCAGCTATTTAATTAAAGCCAGGGGAAGCCTTAATCTATTCTTTCCATCATAGAGCTGTTTTTAATCACAAAATAATTTCTGCAAATAAAAACTACAAGCTACTCTACCCTTAAAGGCTCAGTCAGGGACTGTGTTGGGACAGCAGGCTCAGCATTCTCTCTAAGATTGGTGACATTATTGCAGTCTACAGTACCTTTCAGAACTGAAGCTAAGCATGTGCTTAAGACTGAGGTTTTTCAAAGAAAACTGCATGAGTTTCTTGCAGTAACAGGGGCTGGGACCAGTTTATCATTCTGTGGATATAACAAAAAACTGTGTATGCTATACCCTCTATGTCATTGCTAATGGGCTGTTAACAAATCATTGGTAGCAGCTGCCCAGGACACACCTCACACCCCAGGCTACAACAGATAAGGAAAGAGATCCAGGGAGGTGTTAACACCTTCCCACCCAGCGGGAGGAGTCCTCTCTGCTAATGGACCATCAGGGACCCAGCTGCACTGACAATGGCCCAGCTCATCAAGAATCCAAAAATATCCTGCCATCCACAGAGTTAAACGACCCATTGTGAAACTCCCAGCTCTTGGGGGGAGGTACTGGGCATTCCCACTGAACCTGGGGATATATAAGCTTCGGGTTTTGGGACTTGGGGAGCCTCTCATTGGATCCAGAGGGGGAACAGAACTCCAGCAGGACTGTGGCTGCCACTCTCAGGGAGACTGCCATCTTTCCTTCAACAGAACTGTGACCATCATCCCGACTGACAGGTTTAACCCTTTCCTTCTGCTTTGCACCCAGGGGAACCACGCGGTGCTCAGCACAGGAGCTAACGAGCACCGTGCTGTTCCTGCCCAGGGTGCTGGGTTGTACTTTGTCCTTGTGTGTTAAAGACAGTATTTTCACCGTGTATTGTTGTATGTATTGTAATCCTTTTAGTAAATTGTAGCTTTGACTTGTGGTCTCTCTAAATTCATTTCTCCTGACGGTTTACCTCTTTTGTCGCCCAACGTGAGGCACGAGAGGAAAGTCAGAATTACACAAATGCCTAGGATAAAATTGTATCTGAGTGCAGAAACTCCTTGATCATCATGTTGCTCAGTGTATTCACATGGATTTTGTACCTAACACTGTATATATTTCCACCTATGGGAACTATTTGCCTATCGTGATGCTCTTTTTAAGAAAGGAAAGGTATCAAAATTGCTTTGTTGATATACTGTGTTTATGCCATGATGACATCAGGGGCAGTGAGTTTCATTTTGTGGGAAAATGCCGTTGTCAGAGGTTAATGTTCCAATAGGAGACAGAGGAGTCCTGTAAAAAAGTACACTTTATTTGAATAAAGGGAGAGTCTACGGGCATATCCTGGTGGAGTCTCCCAGTTTTGCTGGGTGACACAGCCCCCTTTTTATCCTGATTTCCCGGCCACAAATTTTCCTCCTCCTTTCCCCGTTGGCTGAAGTACTTAGAGTGTACAGACTGCCCAGTCTGCCTACTATATATCCCCCTCAACATGTACCCCCCTTCTCATCGTACATTGTATGTCTCAACTTCATTTTATGCCTCCCTTGGGAGGAGAAGTTACTATGTATAAGTTCATTAAGGTCAGAGGTTTAGGCTATCCAGACTTCTTGGGGTAGGTATCTGGGTTTGTTTAGTTTCATTCAGGTCCTCAGATTCTTCTTGTTCGGTTGTTTTTGTATGTAAAGTGACCAGTCTATCACCTTGGAGCACCACCACTCCCCACTGTGAAGACACATTTCTCTCCTCTCTATTCTATCAATTTGGAATATGTATTCAGTTTTGTTTGCCCATCTTGGTCTGGGTTGCTACCTCTGGGGCTTCATTATTAATTGCACCCAGCCTGTAGGGGGAACAGGAGAGAATAGTTTTTCCCAGCCTTTCACCTCCTTCTTCCCCTTCGGACCTGCTACAACAGTGTTTGAAAATGTTAAGTTTTTTCTTGATGTAAAGGACAGCATATTCCTGTTGTTGTTTCTCCTCTGTTTCTTCTGCACTGTCTATACCATGCTTAGAATCAGAGCAGGCCCTCCCAGAGAAGCTGTCTGGAGGCCTGCCCTGAGAGTGGATAATGCTGAGTGGCACGGGAAGTGGGAGGACATGGGCCAGTATTTGGAGAACTTCTCTTCTCCGGTGATCTGGAAATTCACCCCTGAACAACTGCAGGATCCTGTTGAAGTAATAAGTTGCGTGAGGAGAAAATGTTCTGACAGCCCCAGAGACGTGCAGCTTACGGC